GTGAATATGACTGAAAAATTTCATTTTTTCTGAAAAGGTGGTGTCTATTTACTTGTGACCACGCTGTATATATAAGGAAAAAATAAATAACGTAAACAAAGTTTTTGTCAGTAGCTTCTGCCAGAACCCACACATCAAATGCTGGAAACTCCAAAACATCTGGAGAATGATATTGAAAATTCTCACCAGTTTCCTTGCATTGTACAGTGATTAGGACTGTATTGCAGCACCACAGAGACTAATTGAACTCTATTGGCAGATTTAAAATAAAGATAGCCAGAAGGATTATGAATTTCATCTTCAATAGCAAAAATCAGGATTGAAAATTCAGGGTTAAAAAAAGTCTAATTGGTGAGAAACGGTCAAGACTGTGGGTTAAAGTTGTAATATCCTGGTTGCAAAATATTTTGTCCTAAAATTTCCTTCAGGATCAGTATGTGAAAACTAAAATAAACTGATGGTCAAATGCCATGTCACTAGGCTTATGTGTTTAACCTGCTCATAAAAAAAGATCCCTACTACCTGCAAAAAGAGTTCAATCAATGTAAGCATCCCAATGTCTCATGCTTGATATATATCTTCAGCTTTGCTCTCCAAGGTCATCACAGCAATAATGATGGTCTACAGCTATTCTGGAACCCCACTATATTCCCTACATTACCATCTGGTTGTAATACAAAATAATGTTAGTGCACAGTTTGCATTTTCATGCATTATAACTGCCATTGTACTAGAATAATGTTAAGAAAATGTGTGTTTCATATATTGTCGTCTGCATGATTGAAAATATAACCAAACATAATCAAATAAAATACTGAGTGTATAAAGTTTACATTTGTTACCGTTTATGAATTTTACTTTCCAAAGATAATTTCGTCTTACTCACTTACATTCCAGTTTGAACTAAGTTGAAAATTTCTGGCCCTATCTTCCAAAACACAGGCCCAACTGTATTTTACTGCAAGTGTGGCATGAGACTGGCTATTAGTATTATCTTATTCCATAAAATCACTACCCAACAAATGCATTCTCACACTCAAATCAATGAAAACTATACAGCATGTTGTTTCTTCAAATAATGCTTCACAAGCCAGTAATCAATTAAATTCATACTTAAAAATCTTAATTGATATCAATCTTGTATTCTCTTCCAAGGGATGTCTGTGTCATAAAACACAGATGAATGATTTTGTGTATGCTTCGTATATGTGTAAGATTACTCACACAAATAATATAAACATATATTGCCATACACATCTGTTTCTAGCTTCCATATATCATCACATACATTAGTAGCTTTTGACAGACTGCTCAGGACTTCTGCATTTTACCATAGTGACCAACTAAGGCTAGTTTCATAAACTACTCATTGGTTGTTACAGTTTGGTAATGTGTATGAGTGGTGAAACTCAAGAGTCTCTTATAGGCCTCATGAAATAAATAATCACTGAAATAATGTAGCCAAACTTACACTTTTCAGCTAAAATTCTTGTAGCTCGAATTATTATTTGTGCTATCACTACCTTGTATATTAATACAACACAGACGAAACTTGGTCAAGTACAATAGCTCACAATGAATATGCTTTCATTCTCTGAAATGACCACCAACTGCATACCATCGTGATACTGCATCATCTAACACTGATCCACTCCTATCACAGATAAGTAAATACATGTAACCTCAATGAAATGTGATATAGGAATGTAGTATAAGATATTAAGCCCCCATTAGTTACTATGTACATTGTTCAATTGTATTTTCTTTCAGTTCAGTTTGGGTAAAGAGAGTTGTTGAAAAAAAACAATTCAACTTGCCCTTTCTCCAGTGTACATGAGACATTAATTCACTGATTGAGAATTAATTGTGTTTTCTTACAGAAAAAACAGTTAATGACATTTTGAGAGAGTTACAGTTTATCGCTTAAATGTGTAGTTTAGGTATTTGGATTTAAAGTTAACTTTTGAGGTTATTTCAGTTTTATTTTACATTTACCTTTGTTGTTTAGCTTACAGGAAATCCCATTAAACTGGTAAGAAAAATATATTAAAGGTTTTTTCACTCTTCTCTTACCATTTCAACACACACTCATCATAAACATTTACCTTTAGTGCTTAAGTTTGTTTGTGAATAAAGATTGTGGTTGCAACTATATGTTTTGACACTTCTCACACCAAACTCTCTTAGACTTTTGAAAAAATATAATCACACTCTATAACTCAATATTCTCTGAACCTTCAGTTAGCAAGCCCTAATTAACTGCTCTTAGAAAAATCTGTGCACCAGAAAATAACACTAAAAAATGAGAAATATTCCACAGAAGTTCACAGTCACTCAATTCACTTTCTGCTCTTGTAAGAGACACTACACATGGAAAAGTTACACAGTTAAGTGAACATGTGAGAGTTTTCTGAAGCACTCTGTAGTCTGTTACAGAGAACAACCATTAAAAGTAAGCGATTTTCACAAAATGTTTTACTGCTGTTTCACTATGGAAAAATCACTATATAGCTTGGCAAGCAAGTTTTGGAAAACCTGTTCAGGCATTGGTTTCTTGACCAAACTGCATTTCCTGTTGATAATGAAGTTTAAATCACACAATGTAGTGTATACTTTGTATGGTAGACATCACTTGATAATTTGGAAAGTAAAGATCGCTCTTCCTTACTGTTACTGATTGTACAATCAAATCTCGCTGTTAATCCCAGTTATATTGTTCAGGAGGTCATTATCCATATCTTGGACATTCACTAAAGCTTTTCTTCACCTCTTCATGCAATTCCTCATCCAACTTGTTGAAACATAATCATATCAATACATTCAGCTTCCTCCTCCTTATCAATTGAGTTGATATGCTCATAAAGTCACAGCTTATTGAATTATTCTAGATTCACTTCCATGCACCATGTCAATGCTGGATTTCAATGGACCATACTGTCAGAATACTAAGTGTGGACCTGTCTAACCAGAGCCAAGACACTTCCATGCTGCAGGCACCAACCACAGCTAAACCCACTCTCTATATCGGAAAGTCCTTTTCTTCATTGTTCTATCATAACATCTTTTTTTATCATACAGCTACTTTACCTAGCCCCTAGCATACAAACCCATTTATATCTGCCTGTAAAGTTCTCAGCCTTTCCATATACAGTTGTTTACAGTGTAGTACATCTGTGCTACGATGTGGGCCAAATATTACATCTACAGTGAGCATCATTTCCCACCCAAACATGAGCATGTTGGACACACGTCCAGTTGATCTCTGTTAAGCAGAGCAATATGCCATCATGACATACAACAAGTGTTCATCACAGTAAATTAGGCCAGGATTAATAAAATTTGCAAGCGTATGCTTTGTAGTCTGTATCACACACTCTGCCAAACCATTGGAGTGAGGGTGACAAGATAAACTTTGTATTTTCACCAACCCTCAACACTGTGTATAAACCAGAGAATAACTGACTAGCAAAATTAGTTCCATGGTCTATGTGATTATCTTCAGGAGTGCAAAAATAGGCTATCTGTTGCTCTGCCAACACATCAGCAATGGACTGTACTAGAGTGTTGACCAATGGGTATGTCTTGGCCCACTTAGTGAAGTAATTGATAACTATAACACCATATATCAATTACCTCGTTTAGTTTTGGGAAAGTGACTGACAATGCAGAGGGCTATTCTCTGTACAGGAGAACCAACATTTCTTTGATGGAGTTTACCCTGTCTAGTTAGGTTTTTTTTACCTCTGGTTGCACACATGGTAAAGTTCTGGCACCAGTGTTGAATGTCAAAAATCGAAAACAGCCAATGAAACAACTGTTGGATGCTAGCACTAATGCATGTAACACTCTGGTGGCTTCCAATCCTTGCAGTATGAATGTGCTACCTCAGGGAAATATCACAAAATATACCCTAACAGTCAATCCCTTAGCATGGATAATGGGTTACACTAACTGGCTGCATTCTTTCCGTTTGGTTCAAAATTAAGGAGGGAGGATGATAGACTTGGTAGATTTGCCATAAATACAAATACCTGTAAGTACTACATTCATTTTGTACAATGTTTTTAATGATGGAAATTAGGCTGATTTCAAATTTGTATGTTCTTGTATACAAGTTTGAAGTCACCTAGTGGTGGACTTAATATAACTTCAAAACATTGATATGTAAACCCATACCTAAAATTTGAATTCTCAAATAGAGATATTCAATGTTTAAATTTGAGAAAAATGTTGTAATCTACATTCAGGTTTACAGACACACCTTCATGAATTTGTGGGTAAGTTTGATGATTACTTTATTGACTTGGAACTTAAATGGCTTGTTTATCTGTATACAATAATACTCAAGCCCTTGTTGATATTTTCAATTATTTTAGGCAAAAAAAAAAAAGATCAACATATTAGTTGTATTTCATGCTTGATGAATTAGCATTTTTTTCCAAGTTTTTCTTAAAAGATACAGGAATAAAACTAACAAAGTTAAAGTATAAGCTTATGAAAGTTTTTCAATGAAACAGCTCACATTCAAATTTATCATTTTTGTTATGAATGAAGAAAAATAAAAATAGGTTTTGTTTTTACCTTGATAGGTTTCTTATACATTGTACTTTGTAAAATCTCTTCTATCTTTGAATGGAAAATAATTTGTTAAATGTAGTTCACTCTAATTAGCCAATTTTAATTCATGGTAGAATAGATATTGACTAAGAAAAAGTTGAAGGAATAAATGCACATGTGATGACATTTTACCACTTACCATAGAAATGTTGGGTTAACTTTTGTTAAGTGTCAGTGCCTGTATTTTATTTTATATCCAATTTTTAGGTGTTTTGTACTTTAACTATCTAAAAAAGTACAACTGAAACTAAACAATTAAAATATGTTTATATTCTCAAGTCATTGCTACGTTATAATTGTTACTATCATATTTATTAGAATATTTACAAACTATTCTGGTATTAATATACAGCAACACATGTTTGTCAGAGAAACTCGTCATCAAGAAGAACTTTACCAAACTTTCCTTCCCTAAACCCTTTGATGAAATGGCTAGAAGCTGCTTGTAGGTTTGGCATCTGCACCCAAGAGCCTTAAAAAAGAAAGAACACATTTGCAACTTCTAACATTCTCCTAAGCGTTTCAGAGTTTGTCAGAAAACGATAAAGTAAACAAATATTTGCTACTATCCCTTCAAATCTGACTTGTATAAATAAAATTAATCATCAATGACAGGCTAAATAAATACAGAAGTATATTGGGAATTCTAGTGGTAGAAAATACTTTTTTATCAAAGAGCATATTGCAGAAAATACTTTTTTATCAAAGAGCATATTTTGCAGAAAATATAAGACTCAGTGTGATACATGATTACAGTTTTAAAAAAGTTACTTTGAAATTTAAGTTTTTACGTATCTACTGCATTATGTATGAAGAACTAACTTAAACTGTGGAGACATAAGCTACTTACCTTCCGATGAAAGAACCTTAACTGTCTTCCCAAGGTTAACAGCTGTTTTTAGAAGAACCAATCGAATATCATCACTGGGTTCATCAATTCCAAGATACTGCACATACCTAAAGGTAATAAAAAACACAACTATTTAAGGTTTGTATTAAAATGTGATAAATCAAAATTAGAGTTGAAAAAATCACTTCCAAACCTTAAAAGTAACAATCCATAAACAAAATAAATTATGCTTGATCAATGGTTATTACCATTTTTAAATGGATAAGTAAATAATTTACACAAAAACACAAAACTACAATCTGTGATATCTCCCCAAAAAATACTAAGAAAACTTAAATTCTGTAAAATTTCCTGAAAAGAACACTAAGAAAACTTACAATCTGTGATATCTCCCAAAAAAATACTAAACAAATTTACAGTCTATGATATCTCCCCAAAAAATACTAAGAAAATTTACAATCTGTGATATCTCCCCAAAAATACTAAACAAATTTACAGTCTATGATATCTCCCCAAAAATACTAAGAAAATTTACAATCTGTGATATCTCCCCAAAAAATACTAGGACAATTTACAATCTGTGATATCTCCCCAAAAAATACTAGGACAATTTACAATCTGTGATATCTCCCAAAAAAAATACTAAGAAAATTTACAATTTGTGATATCTCCCAAAAAAATACTAAGACAATTTACAATCTGTGATATCTCCCAAAAAAACACTAAGAAAATTTACAATCTGTGATATCTCCAAAAAAATACTAGGACAATTTACAATCTGTGATATCTCCCCAAAAACATACTAAGAAAATTTACAATCTGTGTTTGTTTGTTTTGGAATTTTTGCGCAAAGCTACACGAGGGCTATCTGCGCTAGCCGTCCCTAATTTAGCAGTGTAAGACTAGAGGGAAGGCAGCTAGTCATCACCACCCACCGCCAACTCTTGGGCTACTCTTTTACCTACGAATAGTGGGATTGACCGTCACATTATAACGCCCCCACGGCTGAAAGGGCGAGCATGTTTGGTGGGATGCGGATTCGAACCCACGACCCTCAGATTGTGAGTCGAGCACCTTATCCACCTGGCCATGCTGGGCCCAACAATCTGTGATATCTCCCTAAAAAATACTAAGACAATTTACAATTTGTGATATCTCCCAAAAAATACTAAGAAAATTTACAATATGTGATATCTCCCCCAGAAAATACTAAGAAAATTTACAATCTGTGATATCTCCCAAAAAAATACTAAGAAAATTTACAATTTGTGATATCTCCCCAAAAAATACTAAGACAATTTACAATCTGTGATATCTCCCAAAAAAATACTAAGAAAATTTACAATCTGTGATATCTCCCCAAAAAAATACTAAGAAAATTTACAATCTGTGATATCTCCCCAAAAAAATCTAAGAAAATTTACAATCTGTGATATCTACCCCAAAAAAATCTAAGAAAATTTACAATCTGTGATACTCTACCCCAAAAAAAATCTAAGAAAATTACAA